CCGCCAGCATGCCGGTACTGAGCAAGAAGTGCCGGTACTCCATGGGTCAGAACCAGAAGTGCCGGTACTGCGTACCGGTGAGTACCGGCCCAATTCCAGCACTGGGGGGGGGGGGGGGTCAGCTGAACGTTGTGATCAGCTGTTTTAGCGCGGTTCTCCAGTGAAGGGGGGGGGGGGGAGTCTCCCTCCGCAGCCGGTTGGCGTAGTTTTGGCACAATTCCGTTGTACAGACCGACGTTAACAGCAGCCCTGTCTGTGCACACGGAGACCGACTCTGTCGTCCGGTGATCTAACCGCCTTCTGGAAAAGCTTCACAAGTACGTCGGTACGCAAATGCGCTTTGTGACACAAGTGACGGTACGTATTTCAGAGAGATTACGCACATAACCTGCGTACCAGTTATGTGCACCCCTGTACTACAGCAAAAGTATTCTCCGTCGGGACTTCCTGCAACAACACCACGCCGTTATCAAAGATGTTCTATTGAGAAGACGATCACTACGTGACAAAAGTTTTCAAAACCGTGGCTACTGAAATCAATCTTACTAACTGCTGTCTGTGCAATTTACTCCGCGCGAGTTGGCAGACTTTATTTTGCTTACTTGAACATCATTTTTCATGGTGGGGCTAAGCCATTTCTTGGTATGGGTGTAGCCTACCCCAGCCATACCCTGGCGCTGCCACTGGTGGCACGTATGGGGCGGGCCATTCTGCACATGCGTTAAATGCGTTAAATATTTTAACGCAATTAATTCAAAAAATTAATTACCGCCGTTAACGCGATAATTTTGACAGCACTAATAATAATTATAATTAATTTGCATAAAGAATGAAGAGTATACAACCCACAGAGAAGACAAATTAATTGACCTATTGACAGATCATAATGAATACAGAGTCAATTTGATAGTTTATCATAACATAGGATACATTAAAGATTAATTAATTAATTAAAGTATTTATTATTTTTGAAACATTACAATACACATCAAATACTAAACATGAAATGTATAGTACATACCAATACATTGTACAAAGGAACATATATAGGCTACAGTACATACAAAGAGGAAAGTCTTCATTAAACATAAACATTTTATTGGGTGTTCTAATTCAGCAACCACAAAATATGTGCCCAGATTTCATTATCTCTGACTTCATCAACCAAAAGATCAATTTAAAAACACACTGTCTGCCTTATACAACGTTTGTTGGTCATCTTTGAATATCATCCAAGTTTTGTAGATGGACAATTTTGCTATTATTAGTATAAGGTTTACACTACTAGGCTATATATTTCACTATGTGTGTTAAGACCCAGAATAATATTTGGCTATTTCTGTGTAAATTCCACTTTGAACAGAGACAAGATAAGGGCAGCAACTTGAGTTGCCCAAGCATTGACATGAAACACACATAATGGTCTGTCTCCTCTGTGACCAAACAAACAGCACATAGAGGAGTAGGGACAAGCTTCCATTTGTACAGGTTTTACATATTTGGAAGAATGTCATGTAATATTTGAAAATTGAATTCTGGCAATTGACCCACTGGAGAAATTGTCTGTAGCTGCCATACATTAATTGACTTGCTGTTTGTCAACCACAGCTTCCCAGTACGTCTGTATGTATGATGTCTGCTTATATTGTTTTACAATGACATCCTGTCAGAACCATGTGTACATTGTCAATGTAATCTTATTCAAAGGAAGAATCAGAGCATAATAAATGAAGCGGTAATACACTAATACTCGCTATGCACCCAATGTCTGATGCATTATGAACATTCTTATAATGTATTATAATCAGCTTATAACACTGTATAATTAGAGTTATAAGAACTCAATAATGCTCATAAATGAACTAGTTGATGTGGGATTCACATCCCACTCTTGACCTAACAATCAACATCGGCACCTCAGTTGTTTCCCCGACTCAGACTGCAAGGAATCTGGGTGTGACCCTAGATAACAACCTGTCCTTCACTGCAAACATCGCTGCTACAACCCGTTGCTGCAGATACACGCTTTACAACATCAGGAGGATGCGTCCCCAGCTGACCCAGAAAGCCACGCAGGTTCTGGTCCAGGCTCTCGTCATCTCACGCCTAGACTACTGTAACTCCCTCCTGGCTGGTCTACCTGCATGTGCCATCCGACCTCTGCAGCTCATCCAGAATGCAGCGGCTCGTCTGGTCTTCAACCTTCCTAAATTCTCCCACACCACTCCGCTCCTCCGCTCCCTTCACTGGCTTCCGGTAACTGCTGGAATCCACTTCAAGACACTGGTACTTGCGTACCATGCTGCGAATGGATCTGGCCCTTCCTACATCCAGGACATGGTTAACCTGTACACCCCAGCACGTGCACTCCGCTCTGCATCAGCCAAACAGCTCGCTGCACCCTCGCTGCGAAGGGGACCCAAGTTCCCATCAGCAAAAACACGTGGGTTTGCTGTCCTGGCTCCAAAATGGTGGAATGAGCTCCCCATTGACATCAGGACAGCAGATAGCTTACACACCTTCCGGCGCAGACTGAAAACTCATCTCTTTCGACTCCACTTTGAGCGATAGAACTATTAACAAAGCACTTATATACTAATAAAGGACTGGCTTATCTAAAGCCAGTTGAGTAGCACTTGAAATGTTTAGCTCTATGAAACCTGATGTACTTATATGATTCTGTTTTCTTCAAGTTTGTATTTTGTTGGTCGAACGCACTTATTGTAAGTCGCTTTGGATAAAAGCGTCAGCTAAATGCAATGTAATGTAATGTATAATTAGAGTTATAAGAACTCAATAATGCTCATAAATGAACTAGTTGATGTGGGATTCAACAATAGTAGGACTCAAATGTCTCCATTCTCTTATGTAGGGTGTGAGCTTGCTTTACTGAACAGGACTATGAAGCACAGCTTCCCAGTATGTCTGTATGTATAGTATGATGTCTGCTTGTCTATTGTTTTACAATTACATCCTGTCAGAGCCATGTGTACATTGTCAATGTAATCTTTGGGTTTTGCTTCTATTATTTAGAAGCAGGAGCCATTTTTTAGGGATTGCCTTTCTAATAATGAATAATTCACTTACCCAATTCCTTTTATCCTGAAGCTTATGGCATATCTTTAATGCAAATTATACCTGAGTCAATCCAATGTTGATACATTAATGAATTTCCTCTAAGATCCGTTATATACTTAGATCCCCAAATGGTCTGGTTTCCAACCTCATCTCCTGTACGGCTCCTTTAGTGTTCCACCCCCTGCTTTCTGCCAGCTAGCCCATCTTTGAATGACACATTGATAGAAAGAAGGAATCCTTGTTAAAATCAAGGTCTTTTCCGAATCAATTGAGAAATAGTTTAGGCAATAGCTTCCAGTCCCCTGATGTTGGGTGATTGATCCATAATACGCTTCAACCAACCATAATGAAGTGCTTCTTTGTGAGATAAAAATATATAGCATTTTAAACCCTGTCTCATAATCTCCAGTGATAACTGATCTTTTTCAATTGTATGTCTCTTTCCAGACCAAATAGTCCAGGGGTAAGATGAATAACTTGGCTTTGGATAAGTTGAGCCTATAAATAAGGGAAAATACTGTACCGTACACCACATGGCTTTAATACATACATATTGTTTATGAGGAGAGAAAAGCTGTGTTTTTCATCAACGCATATATGGAAAGGAAGTTACATCAACACACATAAGATAATTGCATAACACAAATTCCCCTTAAACCTTCATCTTATTCAAAGGAAGAATTAGAGCATAATAAATGAAGCGGTAATACTGGCTATGCATCATACTTATAATGTATTATAATCAGCTTATAACACTATAATTATTGTTATAGGAACTCATTGATGCTCATAAATGAAGCAGTTGATGTGGGATTCAGCAGTAGTAGGATTCAAGTGTCTCCATGCTCTTGTTCTGAAAACTTATGTAGGATTTAGAAGGCGTTTTTAGAATCGGCTATACAGTTATACAGAAGGACCAGAGTTTGCTCTGAATAGGAAGTGTTTTAAGGAAGATTTCAGAACCCATGGTGTAGGACTAAAACACATACACGCATATTACAATCACTCACTTAGACTGGCCTCCAATGTGTTAAAACAAGAGACACAGATCAGTGTCCCTTATGGGGTTAATTAGGGTTAGGCTTGGGGCTAGGGGTAAATATAGTTTTGAGGGAACATAGGGCTGACTGTATACGCTCCTGTGTATGACAGTACAAAAATGTTTGCCTATTCTTTGACTCCTGTTGTCTGTTATTCTGTGTTATAGTCTGTCCTTTACATATCTGCCCGGTACAGCTTGACCTGTATCTGTTTGTATGTACTTGTCTAGGCGGATGATGTGTCCCTTCAAAATGTGGCAGGCAAGACAGTTTTCTGAATCTTACATCAATGATTGCTATTAAAAATCATTGCTATCTGAAACATTCAAATACAAGGTTATTTAATTTTCAACAGTGTAATAGAATCAGACCATCCGATTTTCATCAGCATCCTGGGCTGTACAAAGGGCAGTTAGCACTGTTGAAAAAAGGACAAAGATATGAGAGAAGTATAAAAGTTTATTTTGTATAACATGTAAAGCCTAGAAACACAATATTTGTATGCACAAATTACTCAAGTATAAAGACATCAGCCCATTGTGTCCGATGACAGCGGGAGGAGAGAGCTGGTTAGGAAAGTGTAACTCCTTTTCCCCGCAGCGTTCCATAACTTAAGCATTGGTCTGTTTATAGGAAAACATATGCAGCACTGTGCAGTTGTGGAGGATGCAGGACTTAAACATAAGTATGATTAAAACGAGCTACGCCATTACCCTCTCGACAACAAATAAATTATTATTATTATTATTAACAGACAGAACAGACGTGACTAGGAACTCTCAAGTAAACACGTGGCTCATAACCCTTTAGGAAACGCCCCCTATAGGATCCTCCCCTTATAGGAACCGCCCCCTGCCTGCGGTCTGCATCCAGACACATCTCCCCCCTGTGGCGCCGTGCAGAACTCCAACGCACCGAGGTGTGGAGACGTCATCAGTCCGCGCCGCACAGGGGAAACGTGGGTAGGAGAGCGAACCTTTGGAAAGGAGAGGAGAAAAGAAGAGTCCTCTCAAGAATCTGTGTGAACATGGCAACGCTTCAAGAGCCAGAGGTCCAGCTCGCACAACGACTAGCCTCAAATGAGAAGCCTATCCGGACCAAGGCTTTGAAGAAACTGCGAAAGTACATCAGTATCCGCTCTCACAGCGACACAGGTAAGCTAGCATGTCCGCGGTTGCAGCTAGCTCTAACACAAGCTAGCACGAGCTCCGAAACATACTGCGACTAAGCTTTCCTTAACTTTGCTTAAAACGGATAAACATGGTGACTACTCACGAATGGTTCAACTCGACGGGTTGCTTCTGAACAAAGGGAACTGTTCTAACGGCGACTCGTGTGCGGTAGCTAGTGCACACGTGTGAAGGCTCCTGTGTGTGTAGCTAGTGTTACCTTTTTATTTAAGTTTGTTTGAACCATATTACACAAACTAGATAGACAACGCCTAATGCACACATCACTACCTAAATACATAGATGGCAAAAGAACAGTTGTATTAAGTGCAGGGCGGAAAGTGCATTGTCCATTGAAGTAGGTCTGCATTCAGTCCAATAACACTCAGCACGTGCCACGCAGAGTCTGGTTTCTACCAAGGCTTCTCCTTCTTCTGAGGTCCCCAAGAACATGTTTTATAATCATGTCACAGTTTATGATGGCTTGGTTAATGACCATAGTGCATATCGTTTTCCAGATTTCCACACATGCGATTAAAATGGTTAATTGAAAGAACCCTTTGCGTCCATATTTTTCTTTGAATAAGCAGTAGGCTACATGACAGAATTATAATTTATATTAAATGGTAATCCAAGGCCTTGCAGGACCGACCATTCCTCCTGATCTTTATAACAATCAATGAGGAGATGCATTGAGACAATGCAGTCTCATCTTCTTCACGGTAGATCGTACATTTTTAGTTTTTGCAAAGTAGATCCAAGATACTACCGCTCTGCCCACCAGTCTGTCCAGAGTAATGAGCCACATTGAATCGCTCATTCTCTCTGGAAGGTGTTTGTTATAACAGCTGCCCGCCAGTCACTGTACCATAGCAACAATAACCAGAACAGTAACCATATCCCTTTACCTGCTGCAACTTGTTATAAGCATATGGTAAAACAGCAGTACACCAGGTTTCTCATAATATACCAATTTAGTGCTCGAGTTGTTACATTGTTAGTAGTAGTTTTCTATGCAGTTACTTGTATCCTAGACAGGGGACATGTTTTCTCACAGTCTCGTGTCCTTGGCAGGTGGATTCTCAGGCGATGAGCTGCTCAAACTGTGGAAGGGTCTGTTCTACTGTCTGTGGATGCAGGACAAACCACTGCTGCAGGTATGTACAATGTACATTGGGAGTCTTACTATGTCGCCACTAGTACCATTATCGTACCACTTTCAATGCATCAAAACCGTCTATAATGCCGTCAGGTAACAAAGGCTGCTGCATAACTTGCTGCCCCCCAATTAGTCGACCAAACGTCACTTCATTCTGAGCTGAGCCTGGTCATTTAGTTAATTTTGTCGGTCAGGAAATCTGAAGTGAAGGATCTTTCTGAGCATCGAAATGCAGCTTCATGAATGCCGGCATCATAACAAAACACAGAGCTTAATTATCCCTCACAATGTGTGTTCCCTTCACATTATTGGAGGAAAACAGCAGCAGAAAGCCAAGCAGCAGCCTAACCTTGTCTCAACATATACACAGTCTGAAACTTAACAAATGTAGCTGTGTCTCTTTAAAAATAAGACATATTTGGGGTTCCTATATGATGTAATGTTCCAGCAACTATGATTTATCAGTAACCAATGAAACATGTCAATACTGATTTAATTTTCTTATTAAAATTATGAAAGGCCATGTTCAGAGTTCGTACGGGTGCTTGAAATCCTTGAAAATGCTTGAAATTTGACGTGGTGTTTTCAAGGTTGGGAAAGTGCTTGAATTTTGGGAATGGTGCTTGAAATTGAGATAAAGTGCTTGAAAATGTAAATGCTTTACTTTTACAATAAATTGCTGTCTGACTGAATAGTTCGCTTTTTAGATTAAAAGAAAATAATTGCTTCGCTTCTACATAAAACAGCTCCGCTGCGGACTTCCCGCGCTATGCGTGCGACCTGCAAGTGTTTGTGTTACGTGTGACCTGGGCATTCTGATGAGTGAGAGATGACTGTGTGCCAGGAGGTTGCAGTTTCAACGAGCGTTGGCTAGCAGAAGACAAATACAAGCCATGGCTAAGACGAGGGTCAAGCCCACGTGAGATAAAAAGGTTAATTAAAAAAATACCATGCATGATTACAAAAATAATCTTAGTACAATAAGTTAAATAGAAAACACAATTTTATATAAAATATTCCAAGAACCACTATCCTCATATAAACATGTCAAATTTGTGTATTTTATTGTTTTTCATAATATATCATTTTGTTCATTGGTTTGTTAAAGGTCACATGTCATGGCCATTTCCACTGATCATAATTCCATTGTTGAGGTCTACTAGAATAGATTTATATTGTGCAATGTTCCAAACTCACATTGGTTTCGCATACAGCATCTCTGTAAACTACGTGTATTCACTCTCTCCACTAAACGGCTCGTTGCAGCTCTTGCCCCCCCCCTCCCTGTGAGCCCAGTGTGCTCCGATTGGTCGGGACCAGTCGGGACGTTGTGAATCGCGCTGAGCTCCGTGGAGGTGTGATTTCCTTGTTTAGCGATACACAGCGAAACACAGCCAAACTCATCCTGAGCACACACAAAGTCACAGCCGAAGTAAAAACAATAAGTGTGGCTTGATATTGAGAAAGAAAAAGGTTGATAAACGCTGTGAGAATGGGTCTGCAGAGAGAATGGGTCTGCAGAGAGAATTTCGCCGCGATCCCAACTGTCTGTTATCAGCCTGCAGCCAGGGAGGAGAGATCAGCAGAGCTGCATGCACTGAGGCTGCAGCCACACGAGGACAAAAACGTCCGTTTGCGTTACCGTTTAGTGTCATATAGACCATTCGGCCACACAAGGACGACCGCAAACGGCACTAAACGACTGAGGAAACGATAACGGGTCCCAAGGTGGATAGAAAGGCATACGCAACGCTCTGGGGGGGTCAAACAGCTCCGTGTGTGCGATCATTTTCTGATAATGATTGCGCAATAGCCCCGCCTCTCCCCACCTCTGCTGCTCACCTCCGCGTACCCCGCACCATTGCTGATGTGTTTTGCCACCAACAACAACGGCGGATCGCAGAGAAGACCTTTGACCGGCACTTTTATAATTTTGTCGGAAGATTTAAACTTTAATACACATTGACTGGCAAAAAACTCTGCCCGGTTCCCTCGGCCCCCACCGCGGAGAATAAACAGAAGGACAACCATGCTTCTTCGCTGCTTTTGTGGAGGAAGTTACAGCGCCACGTACAGGCTCCTGCATATGTACTGCAGCTTCTCCAGCGGTTGGAGCTAAACGGCGCGGTCTCGTGTGGACAGATACTATCCGGATAACTATTGATTGCGTGTGGACGGAAGCTTGTTTGCGTTAATCCTATGCGTTTAGCCGTTTTCTTCCTCGTGTGGCCGGGGTCTGATTGTGTGAGGAAGTCCGTGGATTGGTCAATTTGGACCAATCAGCGGGGGCTTAACGTAACGGCTCCACGGATTGGTCCATTTCGTTCCGGGGAGGACATGACATCATGCGTACCCGGAAGAATCAAATGGACAGTGACGTATCTCCAACGAGGCGTTTTGGGGAGGTATTTTCTGTGTTAGAGTTTTACTCGCTACAGGGTGTACTTTGAGGGTTTTGACTCTGCAGACCGTTTACATGCATAAAAACCTTCATAACACACAAGGGGACGGGTACTAACCGGAAAAGCATGACATGTCACCTTTAAACATATATTACTTCAATTGAAAAACTCCTTAGAAAAATCTGTTTTTAATTTGTTTCGTTATATTCTTTTTTTTCATGGATAAAGATGAAAATATCCTTAGTTTGTTGTAATTCATTCATGGAGTTAATAAATCAAACACTGATGGAATATCACTATATTGTAATTATTTATATAGGCTTTTTCTATCAAAAAGGTCCGGGGTCGGTCAGGGGGTACTTGGCTGAGAAAACGTTTCAAAGGGGGGTACATTACTGTACAAAGTTTGAGAAGCACTGATCTAGGGTGTACTCATTTAGATCTATAATGTACTGTAGATCTATAAAATATAATAATCATTCTGACCTCAGAACACGATAAATTCAAGCTTTCATTTCATGAGGGCACTAATCTGCAGTGAACTGCTTCAACACGTGTATTTCGGTTAATTCACAGCATTAATTTTGTTATTCTACAGTAGTGTTGTTTTATAGTTATTTGTTAATGTAAATAAACCAATTTGTGTTCTTTGAAATTGAAAAAGATATTGCATTGTGTGTGTTGCTTTCGTTGTATATGTCTTAAGTGTAATTTGGCTTGGCTTCCTATTTATGGACATGCTTTTATTTTGAAGGACAGTTAGCGCTGTTGACACAAAGTTGTTATGCTACACTGTAAAAAAAACAAACAAGTAAAAAAACGGTCAAAGTACTGACAGCAACGGCTGCCAAACAAAAACCCTTAAATTAAAGTAAAATACTTTAACTGAAATAAAGTGAATAAGCCATTAATTTACGGGAATTGTCCTTAAAGATTTTACAGGAAAACACTGTAATTTTACAGATTTATCTGCTCTTTTTACAGTCAATAACCTTTAATAAAAAGGGTTCATACGGGTGCTTGAAATCCTTGAAAATGCTTGAAATTTGGCGTGGTGTTTTCAAGGTGCTTGAATTTTGGGAATGGTGCTTGAAATTGAGATAAAGTGCTTGAAAATGTAAATGCTTTACTTTTACAATAAATTGCTGTCTGACTGAATAGTTCGCTTTTTAGATTAAAAGAAAAGAATTGCTTCGCTTCTACATAAAACAGCTCCGCTGCGGCCTTCCTGCGCTATGCGCGCGACCTGCAAGTGTTTGTGTTACGTGTGACCTGGGCATTCTGATGAGTGATAGATGACTGTGTGCGTTGCCTAGCAGAAGACAAATACAAGCCATGGCTAAGACGAGGGTCAAGCCCACGAGTAGCCTCCTGCAAAGTTTGCAAAAATAACGATGCGAGAGTCTGCGCTGACGAGCCACATGAAAGGTACGCCGTAGTAGAGCATTTTAGATTAGGCTAACGTTGCATGTTACGTTTGTTTAAGCTAACGTTAGCGAGCTGAATAGCGAACTCGATTGAGGGATAATAATAATTGCAGGGGACAATCATTTCAGAGGAGCGTACCTATGTTATGTGCGTTACCGTCGCCATCCTGTGGTGTTCAGAGGATGAAGCTCTCACTGTTGTAATTCAACCCAGTCTCACGGCATTTCGTGTTATAGTCACGAAATATAATCTATTGATTCGACACAGAGCGATTTTGAAAGCAATGTATTTCTACTGGTAGTATGTTTCGTGCCTAAACCAAATGTGACTTGCTCTATCGAAATCAGTCACATTGACCCGAAGACACATTTTCGTTTATTACTGGTCTGGGGGAAGCTCGCGAGTGTGTTTGTGTATTTTTGCGTTTGTGTACCGGGGAAACACTCACAAGAAACACCGGCTGTTGTTATGCTTGCTGTGATGTTACATTAGTCCGTTCTCTGCTTGTAATTATGCTGTTACAAGCTTCAAAGTTGTATTTATCATCTAAATTTGCCGAAGCAAGTTTAATATTCTGAAAGCCATAATGATAGCCCTATAGTTTTAAATCTACTACCCACACATGAACATATGGAAATGGGTTACTATTTAAAAAAATAAATGTATTTATAAATGTATTTAGGAACCTATCCATGTGATTTTTAGTGGGGGTCGACCTCAAATCCTCTAGGGGGGTCCAGGGGCATGCCCGCCCCGGTAAGATTTTATTTTTTATTTTGGAGTTAAATGCATCAATCTGGGGCATTTTGAGGGGAAAATAAAGAGACTAGATCTATGGAAACACCTATATGAAACAGAACTGTATACATTTCAATAATCATAAAATCATGGCCATAACCAATAACATACCATTTCCAATATGAAAAAAACACTGAAACTTGTTTATTTATTTATTTTTGGTTCATTTATAGTTGTGAGTGTGTCTGTGCTCCTGAATCAGCCTCTCCTGTCTCCCCCCTCTCCCCCTGCTCCTCTTTGAGGCAGCAGCAAAGACTAGTTTTAAAAGTGTATCTTACCTTTTTTCCCCTAGTTAACTTTTTATTTATTTATTCATGCATATTTTACTAATCACATTACATTTCATTTAGCTGACGCTTTTATCCAAAGC